TCTGGTTTTTTTTCTCTATTAAAGTTAGAAAACAAGAAATATAAATTGTCAGATATTCAAGTGATTACCGAATAGTTCCATCTTATTGACAGCCTTACTTAAGCATTTTCTTTAATTAAAAATTACCACTAAAATTTTATTTAATATTTGTTAAAGATTTTAACGTTCACAGGCAAACTATGTATTCTAACTTGTCAAAACATTATAGACATTTACGTAAGTATAGGTTTAACTTTATGACTATAACTCAACATCAATAAATGTATAAAAACAATAAAAATATAAAATATAACATTAAAAAAATCAAAAAGCATTTAATAACAAGTTCTAATCGATTTAATACACTAAATGTATCAACGAATTTGAGTGAGTAATGCTACGATCCAATTGGACAGAGCATAATGTCAGCCACTAAATGCCACTATATTTTCCGGTTTACCTGACCGTCGTGATTCATCATTAAATAAAGCTATTATGCGCGTGTATCAATGTCCTTGAAACAGATAACAAGTACACTAAATGGGTAAAATTCCGATTGATTATTGTTAGAAAATATCGCTTTATCTTTTTATTTATTTTACTAAAACAATTTATAAAATAACCTCGATGTTTGCTTTTGTTAGTTGAATAGTTTTTCATAGGTTTTTTTTCCAAAAAGTAAAAATATGTGGGGTAAAATGAGACAAATAATTTTCTTATAAATAATGTTGTAAGAAACAAAATATGTTATTGCGACCGACACATAGTTTGTACTTAGGCGTCATATCTACTTCAAGATGATGACATTACTTTTCTTAATATACCAATTTAAATGTTATACGTTTCAACTATCATTCTACTGTTTTAATCATTCGAGTTAATAAATTTGTTTACTACTTTCAAAAGAACCACTGTCGATCTTTCTAAAAACGATTTCTGTTACAATATTTTGATAAATATTAAAGCGTGTGAATGACAATTTGCTGTTTAAAATTACTTTAAGGTGTAGATATCAAAATTGGGTCTCTTAATTATTCAAAATATTTGTCATGCTATAGCTTTTAGAAACCAATGCATCACATAAAATACTATTGTCATAGCGCCACACACACTTAGACTTCTTTCATTCGTTTATTTCACATTTACATGTTCATAACATGGAACATACAGAGTAATATATCAATATGCCATAATCAAGGAAAGACATATAGATGTGTCTTCTTCAGAATTAAAAAGTTTTTTTGAGTTCGGGCAGTTAACAGACAAATCTAATGCAATAACTAAAAAACACACGAGAGCAATTAAATGTTTCTAAACAAGGATTTCGAGTTAATTTTGAATACGCAGTGTTTGTTTAAATGAAATTAATTAATTCTACATGTATATTGTATATGATGGCATTTCGAATAAATGTGCAATGAATTAAGATTGAACCATGACGAAAAACATAATAAATGGACAGTACAAAACTGGATCGAATCCTTATTCATATCGTTGTCACCAAGTTTATTGAATCATATTCTGTGCGAATATTCTGCATGATTGTGATGTACTACACATGACATGCTGTTCACCATGTCCTTATTTACGGGTCGGAGAAACTGTCTGGATGTGGATCCTGTCCTAATCTTACGGATCGGATTGACATTCAAGGACGTAAGTAAAAGTCGAATTGAACATAGGTTATGACAATTTATTAATAGAACAAACTGCGTGGTTGTTGTAGAACAAATACAACAATTTTGATATTGAACGGGTATTGTTCGGCTATTACTTCTCATATGAATTCTTAAACGTATAGTTTCAATAGTTCATCGTGACAATTATTCATGCAAAGTCTCTTTTTTCACGCTGGACAAACATAGACATGAAAATAATTGGTATAAAACACAATGCTTTCTAAGCTTTAAAACGCATTATGTACATCAGATGACACAAAAATTCCCGGATACAGCGATAGTTACAAAAATATGTGTTAAATGTTTAAAATACATATTATTAACACTGTATTAACGCGTAAGTTATACTCTTTACATTAAAAGAAAAGTCATTACAACTAAACACACCTTGACCAGCACATACATATCTAAGGACGCATAGCAATACACATTTGACGCATTCTTTTGGTCATTTGTGTTGACATGAAAAACGCTCAAAAGATTTCAAAGTAGATGCCACTGTATGCAATACAAAAGTGATGCCTTGTTACACCGTACTTTGGGTTCCAACGCACTTTAGGGTCCGATCCAAGAGTGTGTTACGCACTTTGGGGTCCAATTTCGACCCCAAAGTGCGTTAAACAGGTCCTTATGATTTTTTTAATATCAGACAAACGACCGCACTTTGGGGTCATAAAAATGAATTTTCATTATGTTTTAAATAATGTATTGTAGTCAAAGCTAATGGTAAAAAAAAAATCAAGGTATTAAATAAATGCAAAACATGTGCCCTGAATTATAGTAGTATCAATAGCGATTTCAATGTTCTTGACCAGTAAGTAAGTAAAAAATTTGTATCAATTACTAAGCTCAAAATATAATTTTTTTCTCAAATTTTCCATTTGTTTTAAAAGAATGTACACCTTTCATTAACCCCATTGTTTTAAGCTAATTGAGTCATTTTCCCATATATTTTTTTTAAATATTTTGTTGAAATATGATAGCCTTAGCATAGACAAAAGTAAACATTCTGAAAAATGTGCCCGATAATATGTTGAAAGGGCCATTTATTTAGCTTACCTAAATGTGACATTTAAGAAACTTGACTAGGTGTATATGCAGCATTAAGTAGTGGTAGTTCGTACAGGCAGTAAAACTATTTAAGAACATGTATGTAGTCACACATTAAGAGCGGAACTTCATAAAAATGTAAAGTTCTAATAGTAGGGTCTAGAGGGGATGTTGGGTGGCGATCCCCCTAAGATGATAGAAATTACGTTTAAAAGGCCCATAATGCTTTTATTTGTATTTCTTTAAAGCTTTTAAATTCTGGTGTACTTCTATAGTATCCAAAAAGTTACTCATTGGCCAATTACCTGAACCATCTTTTTCATCTGTTGCTTTTTGGCAATGAGTACAGTTATAGTGAATTAGTATTTTATATGGAAGTTCAATACTAAATTGTTTACATTTTGCTACTTTTATGACAAACCATTTCACATTTATCACTACTCTACTTTATTTAGGTAACAAGTATCTTACATTTCTCTGATACTATTATTTAAACATTATTAAATTCATGTTTAACCTTTCTAAAGAAGTATGTTAGATTTCCCATTAAAAAGCTTCTGGTGAACGGTTGTTAGGAAGCTTACAAAAAATAACTTAAGTTTGTTGATAAGCTTAAGAATATATTTGTAAAAATCACTATTTATAGTCCGATCGAGAGACTTGATATTTCACCAGAACATTGCAATAAAGAATATTTATAGTTCTTTTGGAAAAAATATTAACTGCATTTTATTTCATCCCCATCATATTTAAAATGGGGCTCGATATGGCACCAAAAGTTTTCAAGTAAATGACTGACAGAACGGGATTTTTTTCGCAGCATCTTTTAATTTAGGAATACATCCACAATTTATGTACTAGAGTACTTTGTTATATGAACACAATTTTTAGATATTTCAAGCGGTCGAATAAATGAAATCTTGAACTCCACTTCAAATATTTCAATGTCGCAGATCGAAAATAAGTCAGTTCTCAGTATTTAAGCAGAACTCTGGTGAAACCTTCAAACCTCTGGAACCCAAAGTGCGTTGATATGTAGCATATTAACGCATTTTGGGGTCAATTTCTCGATTTTGACCCCAAAATGCGTTGGACCCAAAGTGCATTCAACCCCAAAATGTGGTGTTACAATGCCTTAAATCAATTAAGTCAATAAATAGTTATTTTATACAATGGGAAGACTGTTTGTTGGTAAATCCCGGAAACTACTCTCTGTAAGTGTGCGAGCAACTCAAACCTATATGGCTCTTGAATATAGACGTTGTAAAAACGCAGGTATATATAAAAACTTACATTTAAAACATCTTTTTGTATGGTGTATAAAATCATTTTAGAGTCTAATTATTTGTTTTTTAGAAAGGTATCTAAACTGTCATCAAATGCTTCCATAAAAGGAACTTGTTTAGGTGACAAAGTTCCGGTATACATAGACCGAAAGCAATGATTTCGGTAATTTTCAATTCCTTCCTCTCGGTGGTCAAACCATAATTTAATGTATTCAATGATCTTCTCAAAGTTCACTGTTCGCCCTGTGCGTGAAACAAGAATTTTCATAATATCTGTCTGGAATTCTAAGACATCGTTATTTGTAATCAGCATGGACGCCCGGGCATGCATCTCTTCAGAGTCTAGTTCCATCTCTGTTTGTGATACCGGCTCATTAGGGAGCGTTTCAATTATGTATCTGCCAATAAAGAAAGACTTGTTGTTATCATATATCTTTGTTTGTTTAATATAACATCCTTAATTTTGAAGAAAAATGAAAATAATTTCGTAAGTACGCTCATTGTACCTGAAACAATATTTAATTTTTTTAACCAATTTGACGTACATCTGGAAGTTTCGATCGAGATAACTCGACTGTATATTCTTAAAACATTACTTATTGCACATTGTAAATAAATTTTTTATTGTGTAACAACATATCTACTTCTTGTACTCGTAAAAGCATAAACGTTGAAATGTAATACATGTAACTTTGCAATAAATGGCACAGTAACCCATACGGATGAAATCGTTCTGACTGCCTGTACATGAAACAGTTATTCCGTTTCTACACTGAGACTTAAGTATAAAACAAATATAAATGAAAAAGATCTTGTTTGCATTGCAACTGTCATCAAATTTACCTGCATACCCAAATGGCTATATTTTCGAAAAGCGATAGTGTGTACAACTGGTGTTGAGCACCTATATAAAACAATTTCCTGTTTCCAGCTTTCAGGAAAAGCGACGATTTGTAAAGTCCTTCAGGATAGAAGGATGTCTCTTCGTCTATTCTCAACCGGCTTTCTAAGAACGGAAAACAACTTTTGTAGCCAGTACATCAACTTCTGCTTGTGTATCATCTTTGAAAAACGCCTGTTTCTTTTCGAAGATCTTCACCAATTGACGTTCTTCGATACCTGGCAACCATTTAAGACCAGTAGGTTTAATTCTGAAAGATATGATAATATGCGTTGCTCCAAATTTCAGACAGTGGATTGCGACATCTTCAGCGGAAAAGGTTGATCCTATAATCAAAATCTTTTGTCCTCTAAATTCATTGGCCTCTTTGAAATCATGTGAATGCATTATGCGACCACTGAAATCTTCGAATCCGGTGAAATAAGGCATGTTTGGAACATTAAAGATACCGTTACAGACAATCACGTGGGTAAATTCATTTTCTTTCGTCTCTCGAATCTTGAGATTTTCAGTTATGACAAGAAAATTATCTTTGTCGTCTTGGAAACGAACATGTCTGACAACAGTGTTGAATCGTATATATCTTATAAGATCGTGATTAGCTGCGTTTTGCCAGCGACCTATTTTTAACAAAAGAAAAGTGTAGAGTTAAATGTGATTTTTATTTTTTGTTCTTCTTCGTAGTGTTGTCATGTGTGTATCAAAGTAAAAAGATAAGGAGAATATATAAATAACTGAATATTTTTTTTTTGTAAAAGGAGAAAAAACATTTTTAACCCTTTTCAATACACTGTTTTAACATTATTTAGCTAATGTTGCGTGAAAATTACTGTACAGAAACAAACGTTTCATTTACAGGAACTCCAATGAGGTTTAAAAGCCTAAAACATAACATTTTTTTTTACATAGATAAACATGAGCACTTTAAACAGAAGTATTAATAAAATATAACTAAGAAGTACACAATAAATACATTGAAAGTCATATGTGTGTGCTATTCTCAGTCCGATTTGAGTGAAAAGCGTTTAAACGCTTTTCAATTTTGGGTCATTTTTCACTATTATAATATTTATTCTGGAAAAACGGAGCGAGCTAATGATCTGAAATTTTGCACATATTTTATTAGTATAGATCTACATCAAATGGAGTAATAATCTCAAAAAATTATTTCCAGTCCCGTCATGTCAAAAAAACCTCAGTGGAGTTCTTCAGGGTACTTCAGCCACCGACATTTAACAAATTAAGCCCATTAGAACAAATAGTAATTAATAAGAGTATTGTAAATGATTCAAATATATTCAAATGGACACATTTCTAAACCTCGGCCATTTTTTACGTCTTTACATGTTGTCAGAGTCAGTCAACGCAAGAAAAAGTATTTTTTAGATAATTTAACAAATACATATTTTTTTGAATGTTTTTGTCTTAATTATGTTGTTCAGGAAAGATGACATATAGGTTTGTTGGTAAAACCAAGGCGGCGTTCAATGAACGCATATAAACCTAATACGTCAATAAACCTAATTACACATGTCGCCATAAATGAATAAATATTAACATTTTCTAAGATATGTACAGTTGGTGGTATGTAACGAATTTGATAAGACAAACCGCTTACACCTGGCATAGACTTTTTTTCTCAAGTTTTTATTTGTGACATTTCATTCCTTAAATTATTTTTGCCGCGCAATGTGGCTTATCAAACGTTTTTATCAAACTATTTGTTTGTTTATTGAGAATGATTGAAATACCTTAACCCTGTATATAACGGTTGGACGAAATTGTCAATGAAAGTCTAGATAAAGCGTCTATCATTGTTAACCAACATATACCAAGACTATTTCGTAAAGCAGAAGTGACATATAGTGTGCAGGGAAAGCGCACCTGCTCTGCCAAGCTATTCTCTCCCCTTTGATTTAGTGATATCGTACAGAACCATGTGACAACAACAATATGCTTTAGAATCGTCTGCTATAGCATCTTATGACTTTATCTCTTATTTCGTTAATAAATTATCCCACCTTGCAAGAACACACGCGAGATAAAATTGTTCCAAGTTTTTAGTGATATTTTTAATGCAATTATCTGTCAAAGGGGTCTGTTGGGGATATAACTTTTATAAAATTAAACCCAAAAATAGAAAAACCCCTACGAAGGAAAAAAACTTAATTAAAAAAACGGAGAAACAAAATGGGATAAAAAGACGTTGGGGGTAATGAACCTTAAAGTTTTTAAAGGGAAAAAAGAATTGTTTTAATTTTTTAAATCAGTCTGTGTTTTAAAAATTTTAAGCTTCATATGTTGCTTTCCCAGATAATTGGAATATGGCCCGTCGTTTTGAAACAAATAAAAAAGTATCTTTCCCCTTGGGTCGGGAAAACCCCCGGGGTTTTTGGTTACCCCGGTTTTAAACTTTTTTGGGGCCCATAGAGGACCCAGGGGAACCTTTTTCGGAACATGGGGGGAGCATTGATCTGTAAACCGTACATTTTTGGGTTTAAAATTGACCTTTCAAAAACCCAAAAGCTAAATACCTTTTGCCGGTACTGTTCCCGGATATACATCTGGGGAATTATTTGGGAAATTTACCCAAATTAACAAAAAAACTTTTTTTCCCGTGATTTTTCAAATTTTTTCAAATAATTTTTTTAAACCGTTTAAGGTAAAAAATTTTAATGTGTTTTTTGAAATTTTTAATGTTTTTTTAATATCATTTTAAAAATTTTACAAACAAAAAAAATTTGTTTATCCCAAAAAATCTAAAAAATTTAAAAATTTTTCGTAGTGGAAATCTCCAACTAGATAGAGATATTTTCTGCAAAAATTTTTTAAAAAAACCTTTTTTTTTAAATTTGTTTTTTTTGGAACTTTCCTTACCCTTTTTGATACGCAGGCTTCATAGCCTCTGATCCCCTTTCAAAATTCCATTTTATTTAGTTCCGTCCATTGTTTTTTAGTTTCGGGCGCCCGCTTTTTGTTGCTTGGGGACCATACGACGCTTTTCATGAAATGGCACGGAAGTGTCACATTGAAGGTTCCATGATAACCGCCGTATGAACACATCTACGGATGTTTCTAAATTCAAAATTTTACTATTTCACGTTTAAATGTTGAATTCTGCTTAAGCCGGTGCTAGGGGGCGTGGACGGTAACTTGCACTTTCCAGTACCGTCCATGAACAGGCTCAATCAAACCGAGCCTGCAACATTTTCAATTTTGCCTTGTTGGGCTTTCTTTAGGGATTCTGTTTTTATCTATTGTATGTTTACTTTAATTCTTTTTGCTTGGAATTATTCAGAAAATGGTATTTAATCATTTTCTTAAAAAGAAATAATGATTTATGTTCGACCTTCTCCGGTCTCAGGTCTTCAACGGTCACTAGTTTCCAAAGACCTTCATCTATATTGATCGATTATTGTCAACTATATTCCTGATACAAACGTTTATTTATCCCCCAAACAATGTTGAAAATAGTTAAATGAAATATCTTTATATCATAAAAAATGTTCCCCGCAGGAAACCATTTTACTTGTATCCGTTGGTGAAAGTTCTGAATGAAGGACTGTAAAATTTGAATTTAGCATTGTTTCAGTTGGTTTTATGTTGAAAAAGTGTTTTCAGGAGAGAAAAAATCCTGAACTTCAGGCAAATACTCGAATCAATATCCGATTTTTAAAAAATAGTTAATGTGTTTTGAAAAGATAGAAACGACTGATGTACAGCTAACTTTCAATCAGTACTTTAAACTTTTGGATTTCTTAATGTATCGTTGATGCTCAATTTAAAAGAAATCATACTCTTGAAATATGAATGTATACATGTTCCCACATTACATATTATGATAATTTAAATTGAATTGACAGCCACATGTTCATTTTTTTACACCACTTTGCTGTTATTGGTTCTTAATAATGATTTCCTTTTACAGCGTCTGAATACATAAAATAATAAGAAAAGTACATTCACATAAGAAAGTGATATACATACCTTCCAAGTTATCCCTTACAACTGAGACCGGAGGGTAGGAGGAGACCGGTTGACCATAATGTTGCTCAAACGTGTAGTCGGGATATTCTACAGATATTTCTTTTGGTGCATTTATCCAGAGGTCTTTGTACATACTGCTATGAGTAGGTTCTCCATATTCGTCAAGAGCTGAATTTCATCAATACAAATGATCGGGTAAGATGAGTTTTCAGAGGAAAACAACAAATTTAGTAAACACGAATCAACAGCTAATTGTTGCATTAATAATCTCATATTATACGTACACATCCATTTTTTGCATTACATTCAAAGAGTAGCTTCATGTGTTATTTAATTCATATCACAAGATAAACAAACTTATATCACCAGTAGGTCACCGTTTACTTTTTGAAACTATGTAATAAGGTGATATATGACATATATGAGATTGGCACACTATGCCTAATTTTCACGGGAATATTTTCTTTTTCATTTGATTCTAAAGGAAGTCTAAGTCTTAAATAATCAACGTTAGATCGGAAAAAAGAAAAGAAACACACTATCACGCCCGTTTAACTCACAACGAGTGAAAAATGTCCATCGGTAAAAATGTTGTGAGCAACTTCCGTTCCTCGTTATGAGCACCCATCTTTTACGTGTGACACGATAAACAAAGTGAGTTTTTCATAATTTTTTAATATTACAGACATTTATGTAAAAATATCGAAATGCAGTTAGCTAGCGATGTGTTTTCCGAGTATGCACATGTAAAGATATTGCCTGTTTGTGGACAATTTGATGGAAATACCATGCGACGCAGTCAGTCGGGGTAGCAGGAAAACTGGAGACAACTTCTCTTTGGAATTTATTTAACATTGAAAACGTCGATTCTGGTGACGTTTTGTGCATTCTAACCTAAAACAGATGCCCACAAGTCTTCAGCGTGAAGTATTATCTGAAAATCTTCATAGAAACGATGATATACCCTTTTTTGCTTTAATCCTCGTTGTGAGCACCATAACCTCGTTGTGAGCAAAGCAAGCACAGTGCGTGTATGGTTTTAATATGTAATTCAAATGGTGAAAATATATTTTTCAATCTACCACAGCAATTAAAACGTTTTTGCAAAGCAGCATTTCTTTGCAAGACGTTGTGCATACCCCAAAGGGAGGCAGTTTTGAACTGTCCGTCTGCCAGTATGTCAATTTGTCCGAAAACTAAACATTGGCCATAACTTTCTTTTAGTAAACGGGTTTGATTCATTTTTGAACGCAACATCCCTTAGCACAAGACCATAGTGTTGGCCATAGTGTTTAGGCACAGCACATCTTTGGACAAGGCTTTTCAGCTATCCTATATTCTTTTGACCTTGACCTCTGAATGACCTTCACCTTGAAGGTCAAATTGTCCAAAAACTTAAAAATTGGTCATAACTTCCTTAATAGCATACGGATTCTACTCATATTTTGAAACAACACCTCTTTAGGAAAGACCTTCAAACTGATCTGTATTTCTTTTACCTTGTACCCTGAATGACCTTCTAGAACATTAAAAAACTTTAACATTGGTCATAACTTAGTAAGTGGAATTAATTCATATTTGGACACAATGCCCCTTTGGACAAGACCTTCCAACTGACCTATATTTATTTCACCTTGACCTTGAATGAGCTTCACATTGAAGATCTAATTGTCCAAAAACAAATAAGCTATTTGGTCCATAAATCAAAGGCTAAAGAACCACTTCAGGGGCATTGTCAACTTACCGTGATAGTTCTTGTTTTACATAACTTGGTCAGTCTTCAGCTCAGGATAAACACACGTATGTGTGTATCACACAGATTGTGAAATTGTTGAAATATTCATAAACTCCCCGTGATGTTCACTCGTGCCACACTAGAGTATACGAAATAAAATAGCTGATTTACCTCCTCTGTTAATCTGATGACTTGTGAATATGAAGAATATTTTTCAAAAAAGAAAAAAAAAGAACTATTGCAAAGAAAAACTATTGTACAAAAACGTTTTGATTGTTTTTGGTAGATTGAAAATTGTATTCTTGCCATTTGAATTACATATTAAAACCAGACAAGCACTGCGCTTGTCTTGCTCACAACGAGGTTATGGTGCTCACAACGAGGATTAAAGCAAAAAAGTGTATATCTTCGTTTCTATGAAGACTTTCAGATTATAATTTACGCTGGAGACTTGTGGGCATCTGTTTTAGGTTAGAATGCACAAAACGTCACCAGAATCGACGTTTTCAATGTTAAATAAGGTCCAAAGAGAAGTTGTCTTCAGTTTTTCAGCTACCCCGACTGACTGCGTCGCACGGTATTTCCATCAAATTGTCCACCAACAGGCAATATCTTTACATATGCATACTCAGAAAACACATCGCTAGCTAACTGCATTTCGATATTTTTACATAAATGTCTGTAATCTTCAAAAATTATGAAAAACTCACCTTGTTTATCGTGTCACACGTCAAATATGGGTGCTCACAACGAGGAACGGAAGTTGCTCACAACATTTTTACCGATGGACATTTTTCACTCGTTGTGAGTTAAACGGGCGTGACTATGTAATTTTAGCAATTTACCAACTAGTGTTTAATGATACTATAGATTTCGATACTTTAAATCATAATGACTGCCCGGTAGGCTAAGTTCGACTCCATAAACTATTTTTTTTCATATTTCTTTTACTTTTTTAATTATTTGCAGCATGCAGCACTAGTGGATGAATCATTTGTTTAATTGTTTATTTTTTAATTCTTTTTTTCTCTTTTTTTATTTCATTACTTTAATATTTACATCTATATATAACTTTTTCATTATTTCAATATGTAAAGTCATACAATATGTGATTTGCATGCACAAAACATAGTACCGTAGTCATGTTTTGCAAACTATTTAAAAAAGGAAACATAAAAAATAGTGCTTCTTTAAGATTCGAACCTACAACATCCAAGTTGAAATTGAAAAGTCACGTCACTGTTGCTATTTATGTCGCACCCCCGAGTTTGATTTTGATTTGAAAGATCATGAATATGACTCAATGACCTGTTTCTATATTCCATACATTTGTCTCTTGTATAGAAACAGTTCTGACTTTAGCCATCTAAGGCCTTTATGTTTCTTTTTGCATGAAGTTTCAAAGTTTTGTCACGTTTACATTTTACCCTTTTATTGTATTACTAAATTTCGAGTCTGTGTGAGTAACGCAGTAAGGGCTATTTTTGCATAGTTTTACTTCTTTTGGTATCTATCGCGGTTTACGATGTGTAAATTACGCTCTTTGTTTTCTACACAATAACTTAGTCTGTAGGCATGCTACGGAATTCCATAAACGACAGCCTACTGTTTACTGTCAACTGCCTACGGTCAACTGCTTACTGTCAACTGCTTACTGTCAACTGCCTACTGTCAACTGCTTACTGTCAACTGCCTACTGTCAACTGCTTACTTTCAACTGCTTAATGCTTACAGCGACTGTTTAATGCTTACTTGATGTTCATTGATGAATGCCAACTGTTACACCTGTCAAATACCCAAAACAGCCTGAAAGTAAATGTTGGCTTTTTACGTACTTCTTCCAATGTGTTTATATGTTATAGTGAGGCCGTTTGAAACAGTATTGGTCAAGGAATTACAGTACTCTGTATCATTAATGAAGACTTTGACTGAAACCTTGGGACTCGTTACATTTATACATGTACATGTATAATTCTCGTTATACTAAGCAGAAATATAAGTATATATCTTTGCAGACATCTGGAACTTTTCCAAATCATAGACCTGTTAACTGTATAAAAATGTTATCAAACCAAATATTACAAGTTTTTTTCTGTCATTAAATCTTGTTCGGTAATTTTGAGCTACCAAATAAAACTGCTTGCTGAATTATTTATACATGTGTATCTCTGTTCAAGCTTGTAAAAGACAGTCATTTAGATACATCTACCATATAACATATATATTATTATATTTGTTCATTAGATGATATTGACCCTATCCTAACTATAGTACTTAATGATATTTTTAAAACGGAGGCCTTGTAATTTCAAGAACGTCGTTGTTTTTACATTTAAATTACAACGGTCAGTTTTATGTTCGCATTTTGAAAATAATGCTATCATATTTTTTTCGAAAATTATCTAGATAATGGTGCTCAAAACGATTTTCAGACAAAATTATATATACCAGTCACGTCTCGGATTACCAGTAGTTCATTCTGATAACCGTTAAACGTACTGGGAGAGTATACCAAATCATACATGGAACCGTTTAGTTGTATCTAAAAAGTTAATACTTGTTCTGGTGATTGTAGACCGTACATTTATACCTTAATTCTACAAAGCCTTAGATTTGACTCAAGAAATTGTTACTTTAGTAGATGTTAAAAAAATATTCGACAGAAGCATGATGCCAAACATGTCAATTATTGTGTTATAATTGGAAAGTCGATGCATAATAAAATCATTGAAAGATCTTTGAGTTACGTGGACATTATTATTTAATACAAAGGAGTGTTAGTAATTGTTTAACGATATGATGAACTGCGGTATCCTAAATTTGAGGCCTTCCGCATGTAATTCTTAAGTTTTTGCAGTTTTGCCTGTGTTACATTCTGATTTTTATAACTTATGATAAAGGCATTAAAACCACAGGAAAGAAAACAGATCAATCAATATATTGCTGGACGGCTGTCTTTTTATTTCATTGTCTTTAGGTTAATTTGTAAAGCTGTTTTGAAGAGAAATATTCAGTTAACTTGCCAGATTTTGGAGCTTCAGGTGTATTTCTTATGGAACTAAAAATATAACGTAATCTTCATCTTCCTAATACATACTTTTCGCGATCCTATGCATTTAAAATTGATGGACTAAGACACTATTGTGGACAATGTTGAATATCATTTTTTCCAACTTGGTCATGTTACAACATTCAACAAACAAACTTTGCTTTATGGTTAACATATATATAACCATTTTCATTTCATTTTGTCATAATTTTGTTTTCCGGGGAGCTAAACATAAACAAAATTACAAGAAAATTATGATATTTTATTTTTAAAGAATTTTTTTATTTACAATTAAAATGAAAAACAAAATACACTTATTGATTATAACACCACATAAAAAGTGTTTAGTCCCAATAATAAGACCAGTAAGCTAATATTTTCTTGTATACACCGTTATTTAAAAATAAAAATTATTACACGCCTGTAAAAAATCAAAATCTATATAACATATTTGTAAAGTTTCGGGGAAGTAATTAATATAAAAGCAGAATTATAATTCAAAGTTCTGTTATGAATTATATAATTGTTATGAGATTAATCATATTAATGTAAATATACTCTGCAATATTAATTGATATACATGTTGTAAGAAAATCTCTACACTATCACGATGTCTTAGAACTGTTTACCTTAGTTGTCAAACTTCTAGAATAGTAATGACTTTCATTGGATGATTCTGGCAAATACGGAGGCAGATTTGCTCTATGGTTTTACTTGCGGTAATTGCAAAAAGAAGTAGAAAAGATAACCAACCTTAAAGTTCACTTTTAAGTGTGTTTGTTAACAAGATAATTATAAAAATTATATAAAAGATGGATTTTAAAACAAACACGTCAGAAAATATATTGTAACATCAACATGATCATTTTGTCTATCAGAAATTTTTAAGTAAATTTAAATAGTTAAGAATCTATTATTTTTCAGAGTTTTTCAATAGCACAATGGCTTTTCATAAACGTAAAATAAGCTGATCCCAGCTGTAATTTATCACTTCATGTTTGCACTCTTTATGTCATTGAAATATTGAACGTTTTTGAAACAATTTGAATACAGCCAAGTTTGTCTTTGTTTATGCTTTCAGAAGGAAGCCAGTTAAACTCGTCTATAAGCACAAATACATTTATGTAGTCCTTTTCCTCTTCCATTGTAATTTCAATATTTTCATACAGGTGTATTGGTTCTGTTACTTGTCTGTGAAGTCAATGAAAGTATAGGCTGTTCCTCCATTGAAATGTTTCTGTCAGATTTATCATCCTCTGTACTGGAATAAAATTGATTCTATAATTAACCTTCAAAGCACATATGTTTGCAACATAAACTATCAAGAATCAACTTAACATAAATGCATAACATAACATCTAATAAGGAATTACACATTTATAAGCTATAACTAACAGCCAATGAAAACTGAACCAAAATGATCTCGTAAATGAACTCACACATGTTTGATTATGAGAGAATGTTTTGCCTAAATTTCACCAGTGATTTCACCAGTATATTACAGATATTCTTCTAGAAATGTTGTCAAATGAAAGTTTAATAAACTATAAAATTCTAAATAAAATAAGGGAGTGTTGACATAATGGTCCAGATCTCCGCCACTCAACCGAGGAATAGTGGGCTCAGGCCCGTCAATGTTGATTGTCGAACACAGATACTTTGTGAATAATTTATCATTAAGTTGATTTACCCTAAAATGAGTCCTATATTTGACAATTTATCAATTACCTGTGCAAAAGGCACGTGGAACCATTTCATAACATAATCAAAGCAGTGTGCAATGGTGGGACATACACAAGTCATTGCAATGAATTCGAAATTACAAATTATTAGGCTATAAAATAATCCTTTTTAATTTACTTACCATTGTTTTCCGCAAAGTTTACCTTCAACAAAATGGCGGGCGCACATGTGTGTACATTCGGAATACTTCTATTTGATCCATACATAGACTTAGACTGTCAATAAGCAGTTAGCAGTAGGCAGTGAGCAGCAGGCTGTCCAGTTAGCAGTAGGCAGTGAGCAGTAGGATGTCGTTTATGGAATTCCGTAGCATGCTGCTTTAATCTTTCATTCAAATTAATACGGGTAAAATAGTATGACATACATTTCTGTTTCGAGTTCACGGTGCAACTCTTGCTTTTATATTAAATATGTGCTTCAAAGTTATAGACATGCCAATACAATTAACACACAAACAGAGACGTTTATCGTACAGACGTACCTGATTTTTAAAATCATAATTGTACAAGAAGAAAGTTTTAATGTGAACTCTTCTATGATTAATGATAAATGCATACTTACGTAATTTTAGAGTGTTTTTTTTTTTCTTATTACTTTTTTCATTATTTTCTATGTGGAAATACATTGTTTTTGTTGTTGCTGTTGTTACTATTATCAATACAATACAATAAAAATAATTCCTAAAAATAACATAGCATTTTGTCCCTAACATGTAAATTCTATGCATCATCAAACATAATTCATAAACATTTTAGAATAGCTTCCTCACCTGTTCTACACGTAAAATTCCACTGTCCACCCCACGTGCTTTGCTTCTCGTAGCAGACAACATCGGGCATTTTATCAAGCTTTGCAAACTGGAATAACGCCGACATTCCTGACGGCCCGGCGCCGATAATGCACATCTTTTTCGAAGTCATGTTTCTAAATTCTACAAGTATACAATATAAAGATAGGCACAATGTTTCAGTATAAATACAGTCCAAAAACAAACAAAAAATATCTAAACCTGTTTATTTACATGGGCAACTCCAATGCTAAGGGGAAGTAACATTTCAAAGGTAAAAATGTAATATCATTGGTAGAGATTTTACATATTCCTCGTTTGTGCTTAAATTTTATCGTGTTTTTTGTCTTTATTCTAATTATTATACATAATACATGTATATAATATTTATTATAACATTTCATCATATATTGATAATGAATACCATTTAAATATAGAACATCGACTTTGTCCTCCCTTATTTCCAGGTTAGTCCATTTTCTTGTTTTATCATAAGCACGTGTTTCATTTTATTGCAATATATAATTTATTATTAGCACGTGTTGTAATTTATTACAAATTATAAATCGGATATAGTGGATAGAGGTATATCATTATAAATAAGGAGATTGTTCTTTAACAAATGTAAACATAAAGATTTATATTTTGGGGATTAACAAAGACACGTTTATTCAAAAATAGGCTGACGTCTTTGATATTCATCATCACCATCATCAAAACTTAAATTGAGAGTAAACTATGAAAACCAAAGCGTGTTCAATTTAACACAAAAAGTTATCCTTTTTTATCTGGCTTTAAATTAAACATGTTTTCACCGTTGAATCGTGATATGTCATAAATCTCAATCATGTGCTACGTTAATATAAAGTCAATAGTAATACCATAAAGCAGTCAGGAGATCTATGGCGTGATAATTTGATATATCATTAATGGAAGTACACAAATGTATATGCATGTGTGCAGTTTGTAATAACATTACCTTTATCGTTTTATGATTGCAATTAAGCATGAACAATTCACACTTAATTTTCGCACCTTCAGAAATGTTCGTTTTTTTTCGGTCTTTCTATTTATTACCCGTCTGATTTGTATCGGTTTGCATTGGTGGCTGATGGTGGCTATATCTATATATGGCGGCATTGCGACAACGTACCACACGACAAAGCACCGTTTGGCGTGCTTCGTAAATGACAGGACGACAAGACAACAGTGCGACAACGCACGGCCGCTTGGCGAGTTTCGCTTGCGACAAGACGACAAGATGAAAAGGCGATAATGATATAGGTTGCTTGTCGCTATCGACAACGCAACGCGCAAAGTGTACCAGCCACTATAGTTAACTACAGTAAAGGTAAACTTAGTAATGTTCTTTATCAATGCAGTATTTGAATAATAATTAACCATATGAATCATTGATATTCGTGAAATATTACCAAACGCATTTTTAGTAAAATATTTACCCGTGCGACTGTACGGCTCTTCAAGCCTTTGATATATTTATCGTCGTGATATAAATGATGACATCAATGAAAACGACACAAATTGTCAGTAGCGTACACTTCCATGGATATCAGAAATTATAATTCTGTTTCTTTATACGAATTAGCACATGTTTTGTTGTTTGATGCTTTATTTCTACAGGTACATAGTTATAAAGACGGTAGTTAATGCACAATACTAACCTTTGGGGAATCAAAAAGTAACAGTTAATTCTGACTCATTATTAATATCCAATCTTTTTAATAAGACAATTATAAGACTTTATTTAAAATAAATGTGTTATATACCGGGTATGTTACTGACTGGATATTTTGTACTTATATTCATAACACATCAGTAACCTACATCATTGACATTATGTATTTGGTTAAGAAATTGAAAGTTTTGGATAAATGAGAAGCCGTTAAGGTCTGCTAACACTGAATGGATAGAATATTTTAAACTGTCTACATCAATTGTATGTTTTACATAAACCATGGTGTATATGTGAAATAGAGAAGATGCGATAACACTTTACAGCCTTCAACTATGCAAATTAGGCCAACTTTAATGCAATATGATATATGCACTGTCAAACAAACGAGGTTTAAACAGTTGAGTTTAAACAGTTTTTACAATCGGCGACACAAACATTGAAAGTTAAATATGGATAAAAAGATCTGTATAATTGGTGCTGGACCTTGCGGAATGGCAACATTGTTTCATTTTTCAAAATTAAAACAAATGCCTGATGTCGTTTGTTATGAGAAGCAGCGAACTTGGGGAGGGTTATGGAATTTTTCTTGGAGAACAGGTATAAAAATTTACAGTATGAAAACATAAAATACCTAAATGTTGTTGAATTTGATAGACATAGTCTAAGACTATGTTCCTACACGCTTGAAATTGATAGGTGAAAGTATAAATTTAAGAAAATGTAAACTTTTGGTGCCTTCTGGGTGTCCTGCTTTGGTGTGTTCAGGGGGCGTCGTCCTGTGAACGTTGCCTTTGCCTTGTTGATCTTTATTCTTGTTATTTTGTTTATATAAATTGAATTTGAATACCACGTCTTGCTATGTTGCCCCACGTAAAGTGAACTAAGAAAAAAAAATATACCATCAACAATTCCTTTGCATCTTTAGAATATTAGCTTCTAGTAACAATACTTCTAACAGAAACACAACTACAAATTGTTATCATACTTTGAAATTACAAACTGAAATAATTACAAATGTTTCTGCTTCTTAAGTCTGAATTATTTCATTGTATTTGTTTTCTTTCAAAATGTTAATCAATGTAGTTCCGTATTTCTTTTTAACATATTCATATTGAAACAGTTGATATGGATGTTTTTCATTACTGTCATTCTTAATGTAAGCTAAAATGCTATTCTTTGGATGAATTTGTTTTGTCTTTGCCATCCCTTTTTTATATTTGTCAAAGGTATTTTGTATGCAAATAAACATAAAGTATGAAGTAGAATTAAATTGCATAATTTTGTTTTCATTTAAATGTTGTCTTATTCAAAGAGAGTTTTATTTTTTCTCCTAAATCTAAATATATATTAAACCAGGAGTTGATGAGCACGGAGAACCTTGCCCAAATGGAATGTATAGAAACCTATGGAGTAATTCAATAAAAGAAATTATGGAATTTCCGGATTACACATTTGAAAAACACTTTGGTAAAACTACGCCTACTTATTTGCCTAGGAGTGCCATGAGGGACTATTTGGAAGGTAAAGAGTTTTGGTTTATTTGTTCAATAAGTATTTTTAGTGCGATCTAATATTAAAATTTTCGAAAATAGTCTAAACCTGTGTACAATTTAAGATTTAAACAATAGCACACTTTGTTTGAATTTGATAGCATTGGTAAATAAGTATATTCATATGTGTAATATGTTTTATTCAAATTTTTATCATTTAATAGCTATGATTTCGACAACATGAGACTTTTAACATAATCACTTATAACTATGTAAATAGTCATGTTTATTGTAGGTGACATATAGTCCATTGGGCGGGTTACTTAAAGTGATTTGTTATTTTCAGGTCACTGGACAAATGGTGCATGCACAGATCTTAAGAAGTTTATAGCGTTCAATACAGTAGTGAGATATGTAAAATTTAATGACGATGAGAACAATTTTATCGTCACAGTAGTTGATCATAGCACTGGCGAGACAAGAGAAGAAATATTTTCTCATGTTGTCGTTGCAACTGGAATTTTCAACACTCCAAATGCACCAGAAATCAACGGTATTGGTGAGTTTCACGGTCGTATTCTACACGCCCATGATTTCCGCGATGCACAAGAGTTTACAGGTAAAAGAGTTCTGCTCATAGGAGCTGGATTTTCTGGTGAGGATCTTGCTCTTCAGATGCTTAAATATAATGCAGAACGGGTTATTTTATCTCACAGAACTGCCCCAAAAAGTTCCACATGTATTATGCCAGCTGGCATCGAAGAAAGACCGCAGGTTGATAGGTTTGAAACAACAAGAGTCCATTTCATTGACCAAACATTTGCTGATATTGATGCTGTCATATTCTGTACAGGTTACATTAATCACTTTCCTTTCCTTGAAAGTAGATTTCGGATAGATGAGAAAACGCATTTGTATCCAGAAGGTTTATACAAAGCTGCTTTGTACATTAAAGCAGGAAACAGAAATTTGTTCTACGTTGGAGCACAGGAGCAACTTTTTACATTTCATCTTTTCGATGTAATTGCAAACTGGACCGTAAAGTAAGTAATAATCTCAATTTTTATATGATACAGTTTTTTTCTTTTTGTTTGTCTACTCTCATTAAAAACTACTGTACAGTGTAGATGCAATAAAAATGAGGAAAAAAACACGAACATAATCAATAAAACTATTTAAATGCTAAGTTTGTTTGAAACACATAATTAAGTTATTGTTTATCTGAATTTACAAAATATCTTCAGATATATCGTAGGTCAGTTGAAAGAAGAGCCAAAATGTCAAGAAGAGATGGAAACTGACGCTAATATCTGGCACTCTAGATGCGAAGCAGTTAGAAGTGAAACTGATGCGTTTGAAGTTCAGTCTGACCTTGTTGATCATTTGGCTAATCTCGGAGGATATACAAAAGATATTATGAAAACTGTGCCGCATATCCGAAGATGGTTCCAAGAAAGAAAGAGAATAGATAAAGGGCTTGCGAACTACAGAGATGTTTGTTATGCAAATATCCACAGTGGAAAAATGGCGCCGAAGCAAACACCGTTTATGGAGAATTACGATGATAGCATTGAGGCGTACTTGAAGTTTAGTGTTTAAATCTTTATATAAACCAGCATGCCTTCAGATTCATGCTAATATTCATGAAAATATTGATAATTTATTTAAAAGTAGGATTTTGCAAAGTGACCAAAGAAAGCAATTTACACATTGCAAATGGCACTTAGAATCCACGTAAATAACAATACAGAGGTCAAAATATGAAGAAAAAAACTTACTGTGTTAGTTGCACAATAGAGATATGGTGATAAATACTGCAATATCAGTCATCAATCACACATAACTTGTAAATTATTACTTGAATCTTTTAACTTTTCTTGAAATCTCTGTAAATGTTTCTCAAGTTTGATTTTCTTGATTTTTTTTGCCTGATCTGAAGGCATGCAGTTTAAAGAAAGTTTACTCAAATGTCTAAACTCTTCTTTTTGTCTTCATTTTTCAAACGTGTGTGAATACTTTACAATGTTTCATTTCGCTTTTGCAAACTAGTTAACGATGTTTATTTCAATATTTGTTGTCAATAACTCTTCAAACTAAATAATCTCAAGACTATAAATTCAAAATTAAGATATTTTTTTTATATAACATCTTTGTAAACATATTATAAAGTATCTTCATTCCATGTGCACGTAAGTTGTTTATTAAGTATAATTGAGTGGTAAAATTAACCCTAGCTGATTATTGGGCCAGACAAGCGTAATTTCATATATACTTTCTGGACAAAAGAAAGTGAATGTCAAGCTAAATGTAAAGATATTGGTCTCATTAAAAAGCTAATGTAAAATTAATTGTGGGACATATTTGTCTTCAATTAAGTGGTAATGTTTATACTTTTTGTGTTCTCTTCTCTTTATTTTCTTTCTTTAGAATTTACTTAATATTATAGAAATGTTTAAGCTCCAGGCTTTATGGTTTCAAGGGAAATTGTTTTAAAAACTTCACAATATACATATATTGGAAATCTATGACACCAGCTAGTTTTGACCCTGGGGCTTTCATTTAAACAATTTTAGCCCTGTCGATGAGGTTTCGTGCCAAATATCTTAGGTCTAATTATTATGGCTGCAGAGGAAATAGTTCTTAAAGAATTTACCATAAACATAAAAGACAAACTCATGATCCCCTTGAGTGGTGCCAATTTGACTAAATGGCTTTTATTTGAACAAAAATGGAAGAAGGCTACTGCCAAATATCTAAGCTATAGCCTTTATAACTTCAGAGAAACTGATCTTTAAATATTTTTCCTTCGGTTGCCATGGCAACCTGAGTGATGCATGCAATGATATATTTTACAACTTTAAAAGATCTCCTAGAAAGTTTTGATGTTATTAACCTTGCGGTTAAGGAGAAGGTGTTGTATAAGGAAGTGTGGACGGACGCAAGACGACTGACGGTGAGCTAAAATATATGACGTCAGACTGATAAATGTGTTGTTATAGGTTCACAGTGATTACATTTTTCAGCTTACTGTAAACATAAAAAAGAAAGAAAGTTTTATAACATACAGATTTAGTTATTGAACTTAGAAAATGAAAAATATGTGTATATATTTACCTTCCATATAATCTCTAACAACTGAGACCGCAGGGTAAGAGGATGTCGGTTTACGAAAATGTTTTTTCAAACGTGTAGCCGGGATATTCTAGGCTGATTTCTTTTGGCGCATTTATCCAGAGGTCTTTGTACATTCTGTTACTGCTTTGTGTAAATAAGATTGTTTTCAATTCAATGTTCTTTTATAAGACAAGAAACGTTGGTGGTTAAAAAGTCGATTATAAAAATTCAGAACGAAAATAACTTTGGTAAGATCTGTACGGAAATAAAATCTCTATAAAAATAATGCAGGTATGAAAATACATCTTTGTACCCCCGAAAATAAGAACTATATGGAGGCATGAATTATACGGAAATAAGGTCTATACTAAAATAGTACCTGTATGAAAAAAATAACTATATAAAAATATAATATTCACGAAAATAATATATACATATTTCAGATTAATAATACGAAAATATTTAAGATAACCGTATGATGAACTGTACGAAAATAAGATCTGTATGAAAATAATATATTTGAAAATAAGAGATATACAAAAAAACAGTATGTATGAAAATATCTATGTATAGCTAAAAGGTATGAAAAAATACTATATTAATATTTAACGTTATTGTTTTAATTAGATTATGCAAGGACCATGTGTTTATATTTGAAAGACGAAAATAATGAGGAAACACGTGAACGCGTATAACAAGTGTGTATATGATTATCGGTAGCAATTAACGCTAGCTCTAATACGATTATTGAATTATTGGATTATCGCACTTATCGTATAAACAGAAATACAATAAATTTATTTTGTACAATCATTTGAAGCATTCCCATCAACATAAAATGTTGTTTTCGTAAACGTGAACATATTTTCGTACAATCCAGTGCGTTCCTTACTTGTCATGCATTCTCTCGTATAATAAGTACACTTTATCTTTTATTGCATTTCATTCAAACTTCATATTTAGATCTAGCTATGAACATTATGCAACGATAAACTCGAGGAAATTAATTGCCGAATGAATTCAAAATTGATAAACGTTCTTTTTGTCATGATTATTTTTTATTTTTGAAACTGCATTAAAATTTTCCATTTAGAATTATTAGTAAATAATTTCGTCACATAGACCTTTCACCGTCTTGAGATGATAAGTTTAATATTTTGCCAGATATGATTACAATAATTACGTACATTTAAAATCCGAAACATTTTTTTTCCAAATATGTGCTTCGAAGCCAATGGACATGACGGACTGGAAATATTTTTTCGATATTAATGTTTAATATGATATAAGGTCCAGACCAATAACATGTGTGCAAAATTGCGGGTCACTCCCTCCCTCCGTTGTGTGTGTGTGTGTGTGTTTTTTTTTTTTTTTTTTTTTTTTTTTTTTTTTTTTTGTTGTTTTTTTTTTTTTCAAAAATATTTATTCTAATTGTGAAAAATAACGAAACCTTGAAAAGCGTCGCAACGATTTTCACTAAAATCGGGATAAAATAGCACACAAATACGATTTACAACAAAGACGCGCAAAGACTCGTGATGGTCCCTCTCTCTCTTAATTAATTTTGTATTAATTCATATTTTAATAAAATATAAGATGTTCACTTGAAAGGTTTTATACATCTAGGCCCCGCCTATTAATTTTCGTCTATTTCATATATGGAGTTACAAAATCGTTTACAAATGTTACTCGCGTTAGAATGTAAAAGAAAAGTGTGGTGTTGTAAACCTGAGTGTGTCAAGTTGACGCATTTGCATTCTCAACGTCATGATGCACACCATTAAACGTATTGTGTACGTTCTATCATTTACATTTCTACATGTCGCAAATTGGAAGTTATACATGTGTAAATACAGTTTGCAATTTATCTAAGTTGCATGTTAAAAGCTTCAATTTTATCAAATCAAGATAATCAAAATGCTTAATACCAGTGCAGTATGTAACTCTCGGATCGACAATAAGATTTTTACTTATCTGTTTAGTAGAACCGAACTATCGACTGTCAAGATTTAAAGGCTGGATTTTTGGCGACGAATAGACTCCATAAAACTGGAGAATACTAGTTTCAGTCTGTTTCAAATGCTTAACTATTTATTAAATTAAAATTGACCGGCGTTCTGTTTAATGTACTGTTGAATGTGTCAAAGAAAGTCTGAAGCCCCGTAAAGCAATTTAATCAGGTACATGTATACAAAATAAAAGTTCTTGTAATCAGTTAGGATAAAAGTGCATTTCTTAATCATCTCAATATATAATTACTAAAGATTGTCCAGTAACGCTCGGACGCTTACCGTTATCGTTTTAAAGGGTGATAATTGTGTCTCAAGCATATTATTCATTTTTGTTCAATTGCCTCCCTTTTAGCACGATTAACGTGCTGTTACATGTACATGAAGCGAATCCAAATCTTTTTGATCGATTCTCGATGTCGCGTACAATAATATAGATAAATAGAAGGCAATGATACCACACGATATGTTATTGGTTTGTGTTAATTAATACCTAGACATAACTTAAACAGA